AGTCACACGGCGTCACCGGAGCCTCCGATACACAATGCCACTGCGTGTGAAAATCACCTCAGCGGAAGGTGGCATGAACACCGAAATGTCGTCGGCCAAAGCGCCAAAAGAGACCGAAATCAGCGGAGATTCAATCTGAATGTCCGTGAATAGGAGACAAAAGTTGTGAGGAGTTCGAAGCCGAGAGCCCGAAATCGCTCGTAAAGAGAGACATTTTCCAACCAAAACTCTTGAATTGGACGCACTGAACCAGTCTCAGCACAGCCGTTTGACGGATCGCTCAAGCGCCACTGGGCCGCCGGCCGCTGGGGCCGACCGACTGCTGGCCGCTGGGGCCGTCCGACTGCTGACCGCTGGGGCCGACCGACTGCTGACCGCTGGGGCCGACCGACTGCTGACCGCTGGGGCCGACCGACTGCTGGCCGCTGGGGCTGACCGACTGCTGGCCGCTGGGGCCGACCGGCTCGTACCACCGCTGGGGATCTGGTTCGATGATGGGCCTGCCGGGGGTCTGGTTTGATGATGGGCCTGCCGTGTCCCGGGTCACCATGTGGATCACGCGTGGGCGACGCACACGAGTGCGAGTGTCATGCGGCGCTGTGGCGGCGGCGGGCCGACCGGAGTGGAACCCAGAGCCGCGGTCGTGCACTGACACCGTTGCTTTCCCACATTTACTGCGATGTGCTCCCTCGGCCTGAAAATCATGGAGCGGTGAATGCCATTAGCCCAGGTTGGGCACTGCCACCGCGTCTGTCCCTGCCAGTGGCGGCGTGGGAGCCAGTGGTCCTCACCGCTCATCAGTGGCGCAGTCAAGGGAGAAGCCCGGGGGCCAAATGCCTCCTCAGGTCCCGGTTTTTCACCTGAGGGGCTTCCAACAGAAAGCTAAAAATCGGCGTGATGCGCACTCACCAAGTGCCAGGCCCTCTCCCTTTGAGAACTCCCGGCTGCCCACCTGGCGCTCGTATAACAACGCGAAAAATGCCAGTCAGCGCATTAGGCTGACCGGCGCAGGGTCACGTGGGGCAGGTGGCCCTTTACTTCCCGCAGCAGGCCGTGAAACGACGTCCTCTTCCCTCGCGTCCGATGCCGGTGCGTGTCTGTAGCGGGCGTCACGGACCGTAACGGCGCGGTGGACGTGGCTGCGGGTGGTGACGCGACCACGCGCGTTCTGCGGCGCGCGAATCGTGTTTGGCCTGTGTGCGCCCACTCAGCCGTGACGGACGCACGAGCGGTCTATCCGCACTCTCTCCTCCGGCGCGGCTGTCCCGCCGTCCGGTCGGCGACTCGCGGCCGGTCGTTGGGTCAAGCCCCGCTGGCCATACCGATTCGCCGCCAGCCGCCCTCCAGCAAAAAAAAACTGGAGGCTGACGGGGTGGCCGGGGCTGCCTGGCTGGAGCGGTCGGCACGTGTGCGCGGAGCGCGGCGAGCCCGGCCGGCGGCGGGCGGCGCGCCGCGGCCGCCGGCCGGCACCGCGCCCCGCCGACCCGGCCGACCCTGGCCGACCCGGCCGCTTTTTGCCGAGGTGGCCGGCCCAGCCTCGCGGCTCCACGGGCATTGGCAGGCGGAGCTGGTGGGGAGGGGCTCGGTGCACCGCCGCAGCGCCGACGTCACCAGCACGCGCTCGCCTAAGCGTGACGCTAACGCGAAGCGGTCCACGGCTGCAAAGTACTTGGAAGGGGTCGGCCGCTGTCGGCTCCCGGGAGCGATGTACGCTGCAGCGGGTCGGGCTGTTTTACCCGGCCCTGCGGCCATGGGCCCTGAGCGAAACCGGCCCGCGTACACCTTCTCCGCGCCCGCGCCGTCAGAAGAAGCCCATTGGCAGTCGGCGATGTCCGAGCGAGATGGCGAGGGGTTTTTGTTGAGCAACGTTTGGCCCGAGGCGCGCCGTAGTCCCTCCGCTCACGTACCCAAGCCGTGGCGCAACGGCGCTGAATCATCAGCGTCATATTCTATTAGATAGTCGACCTTTCTATGGAGCATGTATAATTGTACGTCCAAGGCCCCGCACTTCAGGAGATCCATTTGATCGCAGCGGGCGCAAAGTGCCATTATATCGTCCCGACAGGTGTTTGATCGTTAATGCCGCAGCGCATGTGGAGGCACTATGAAGTGGCGTGCGTCATGACCGTCTTGGGCATGGAATGCGGCCCACGTTTCAGGAACCACGCATCGCACGCGTGTGCAACGCATGCACAGCTTTCGAGGTCCGGCCAGGACTACCACCGTTGCCGGCTCTAGCGGCAGCGTGCGTCGCGTCGCTGGAGTGGCGAGTACTTCGGCGGGGTACGAACGCAGGCTGGATCCCAGGGTAATCATACTGTTTTTCAGATGTGTGGTGTTGTGGACCTGACCAGGACTCGGTTAAGGACTTAGGCCAAGTGTTGTGTCGGACTTGGACCGGATATTGGACGTGGACCAGGCTTGACTGTCGCGCCGTTGGAGTTGTTTGTGCATCGGGTGCGGGCATATTTCTCCGCCGCAGCCAGTCCCATCCCCGCGCCGCACTGGCTAGCACCACAGTTCTCGTCCTCATCTTCATCCTCATCCTCATCCTCATCTTCGACCTCCTGCGGCGAGCTCGCGTATGCTCAGTAACGACGTCCCGGCGTTCGCGGCGAACGTCATCAATCTTAGCGTCGTCGCACCTCACGAGCGACCGGTGAGACCAGGAAACCATCGTGACCAGACCCGAGGCTCGTACACAAACAGGACCTCTCAGCGCGTTGTGCTGTCCCGAAACGGCCTCTTCAATGGCGAACAAGACAATTTGCATGCGTTTATGACGCGACTTTCGTATCGCGCTTTTCTCGTGAGAAGAGGTCTGTGACTCTCAGGCACCCGGGTTGCGCTGAGGAGAATGACGGCGAAGTGACATCCTTAACCCACACAGGAACAGAGGCCTGCCGGGGTCGGGTAGCGGGCGCCGCGGGACGGCCGTGTCTCAGCCAGTTGACCCTGTGATCCCGTCACCTCTAGCTCCGACACCGCCGGCCGGAGCCGCCTCACCTCGACTCTCCCACACCTCCCTCGTGACCCGTCGGCGGTCACGTGAGGACGGCCGAAATGAGGGAGTTTGCCAGCGCGTGCGCGTGGATTGTATCGCCCGCTCGCCCAGCTCACCGGAAATCACGTCATAACGAAGGTGACGAGACGCAGTCACTCGGTGGGCTTCCCGTGAAGACGCGTGCTGATGCGTGTCCCGGCACGTCAGCCTGGCGGTGAAGGAAATCCGCTGGAATGGCGGTCCATGTCTCGCGTTGTGCACTACCGCAGCGTGCGGCTCTCTGGCTCGTCAAATGGTTGGCGGTGGAGGTCGGGTAAACTCGTGGATCCCAGAACTAGATCCTGGACTGGGTCCTAGATCTTCCTGAAATGACGATTATGTCAGAATGTTTGGAAAGGTTCAGCGGCAATCTCAATTCATCTTAAACTGTTGCCCAATAATCATGCAGATTGCAATGTCTTTGACAAATATAAATCTAAAAAATTCCGGGATCCGTGTCCATTATTTTGGCAGCACTTTTCTATACATAAATGACCAGACGGCATGCCAAATTGAATTTGAACAGAGCTAACGTTGTGTTGAACCGTCATTTACCACAGGGAGTCTCAAAGTGGCAACGGTTTTCCGAAATGCTGTTTGCTCAGCTTCATTTGCAGCTTAATGTCGACCTCTTAAAGGCCCCGTACACCTTAACACTTGCTGCCCCTTACACCTCGTCATTGGGTACAAGCTGTCCCGAAAGGGTAAAAATGTCGTCCGATTGCCGGCAAGTTTTAAATGAAACTTCGATGATAGTTTTGCAATTTACCCTCCTCTTAGATCCAAACTTTTTCTAGGACCCTGAATTTACGTTTTATGTTTGCTGAATTGACTTGTGGGATCCCAATCATCATCTGTTTGTCATATTATATCAAGCACATCCGTGTAAAGTTTCTGCTAATTGACCTTTCAGAATCCAGGATTCGCTTCTCTTTTTTGGAGAATGTATCAGGATCCCAGATCCGCTATCTGTTTCGTTTGAAAGGCCGCTGGGGTCCATGTATTTCCATTTTAACCCAAGTTGTTGTCTAGTGTCGGCGTCGCCTTACTGCCCGCCGCCCGCTTGTGTTTACTCCCAGACGCGTACTGTACAGACGTCACCACGGACCTGAGCCTGTGCTGGGAAACGAAACTTGGAAACGACATAGCTGCCACGTGTTCTCAGGTCACCGCGCCTTATAATTCACCACAATGGCAATGCTCGTAACATTTGGAAGGTAACAACACGCTCTGCCTCCGAAATAACTGTTTCGAAAGCTGCGGAGCAATGCGGTAAACCAGAAATGTGACTGACATGCCGAGGCGTTCGCAACCTGAGAGCAGCGTTCGCACGGGTATTCGGTGTCGTGCGTCGAAAATGAAGTGGCACTTGCGCCAGTAATCGCATTGCACGACCGTTTCGGTGAGCTGCACGTCTCGTGGCGACACTTAACGGCTTCCTCGGTGCTTTCACTTTCCCGTGCTTTATGGCGCCGAGACCGCACACGTCCTCCGGCCCTGTGCGTGGATTGGAATTGCTTCCCGCGGCCTGCTGGTTTTCGCGCATTGCCGCGTAGACTTTTACCAAGGGCTCTAATGCATGGTTTATGCCAGAGGTGCGAGTGACGGAATGAGGCTTTCAGATTCGCAGATGCCCTATTGTTCTGTCCTCCGTCACAAGGTCGGAAAATGTATGCTCGTTGACAAGTTGTGCGCCATCGCCATGTCTCCCGTCTTTACGAATCTCGGAACCTTGAGCTTGGTTGTCTGCCACTGCAGTGTCAGCGCAAAATTCAAGCCTTTGCAGAATTGTTGCAACGGAAAGAGAAAACTCCGAGGAAAAGATAAGCACCAAAGGAATTAGGAGCATGAAGCTTAACTTTCTACATAATTAACGGAAGCGGGCCACTTCCCTGTAAAGAAACCAAAGTCGCTTCGTTCTCTGCATCGCTAATGACATTTCTGGTACGTTTTCTAGGAGCACGTCGAGACGTTCAACAGCCAGGAATTTATGGAGTATCTGAACGAGTACCGGCTCATCAGCATGGATGGCGAGGATCCGACAGACGACGAGAATCCCCCGGAAGGTATGTTGATCAGCCATGGAACGACTGGTCGAATGAGAGATGGACGACAACCATGCAGCTATCAACCTTGACGAATTGTGGGTACTACAATAGCTGTTATTTAGGTGTACGCAATCGACATCTTGCACATGCTTTTTCTTCTACTGGATTCAGCTGGCAATGGGATCGAATTCACGCGGTATTTCCGCAATGATGTAAATGTGTCTGAAACGCATGCAATGTGCCGCAGCAAGTAAATTAATGTGATGTCGAGATCGAGGTGAAGTACAATGCAGTCGCCCTCCATGACATTGCGGCTATTAATTGCGATGCCACTCATGTTTGTCCCGTCATCGTTTAAGGAAACTTTCACCCGAAATGAAGCCAACCATCCAAGTCATTTGTTAGCGATGATATGTTGTTGTCCCATCTGAATAATAGCTATGGCTTACCGCCTTTACCGATGCGTTTTTGGTCAGCTTGTGAAGCTGCGGAACAATTTGAAAGCGATTTCTGGCTGTTACGGTAGTAGTACATTTTTGGTCAGCTAGGAGCGACCCTGAACTGATCTGTTTCATCTGAAGCTCTAAATGTGCGTTTGCGGCACCGGACAGCGTAATAGTCTCGTGTTTGTGGAGCCCAGGTCGGAGTGTCATCTGCACCACGTATTTGGGTGGATCTCGTTTGGTTTAAGGGAGGGTTGGGGGGGGGGGGGGGCGAGGAAGTGCGACGTGACTACGTCACGGCTAGACATTGATACAAATCGTTTGGATATCTGTCTCGTTAGAGCTCGTCTTTACGCCCAGGTCGTAATTTTTGCTCGGGTAGCATTAGCAACCATAACCTATTGTAACACTATTGGTCTCGTATATCAGATATATTGCAGGTGTCTGTTTTGTGCACATAACGGCGTACTCAGTGACTGTTGTACTCAGTCCCCATAATTCTGACCCCTCCCGGGGCTTCTACGTTGTGGTTCCGTTCTCGTAGGATTTCTGTGTAATTCTATCCGAGGAGCATCGGTGCGTCGCACTCCAACTGAATTCCATTCCATCCCATAACCGGACATCCGCACGCAATGTCAGTGGCGGGCGATATTCGCTGAGCGCGAGCCGCTGCCGGCTGCGGTCTCCGCTGGCTGCGGTCTCCGCTGGCTGCTGTCTCCTCTGGCTGCTGTCTCCGCCGGCTGTGGTCTCCGCTGACTGCGGTCTCCGCCCGCTACGGTATCCGCGTTCCCACCTGCACACACACAGACATGTCTCACTTCGCTCCACACTCGGAACCCCGTAGCGTCACGTTCGCTGCGCTTCCGGGCCGTTTATCGTGAGAAGTGCATGCGAGTGTTGGCTGCAAGGGGCTGGCTGTTTGGGATGGACTGCGATCTACCCAGCCCTGGTCCAGTGCGCAGGAGCGACGCTTGATGCGGCTCAGACCTGCTCTGGCCGTCGGTGCGAGCATCCGCAGCAGCACGGCAGGACGGGTTGCAGGGTCCGGGGATGGGTAAGTCAGGGTGAAGGAACTTCCCGCGCCCATATGTCAGTGGGAAGTTATGATGCGCCAGGTCTTTAGACACGCCTTTACTGTCACCGTGGGCTCGAGCCGCAGCTACCGGACTGGTATCTCTTCATTCCTGGCTGTAATCGGCTTAAAAGATTGCGTCACTAAGCGCCATGAGCCAACAAGTAACGTTGTATGCCTCATATAGCATACAAATTTACAAACAACTATGTCACGGGATATTTACAAAAATCCTTTGAAAAAGTACCTATGAAGGCAGGCACCATTCGAAAATCCCCCCCCCTCCTCCTAACCCCCCCCCCCCCTGCTTCCCCTTTTTTCGTCTATTTTAGTCACCGTTGGACAGCGGACGAACCATCGTCAGTTCTACGTGACCGAGGCAGCAGGCACTCCCTGGTCACCTCCGGACGGTCACGGTCCGCGCGGTGACACCTCTGGGCTATTCTCGGATCCGATCGGCCGGCGGCTGGGGTGGCGGGCGCCGGCGAAAGTGACGCGCTGCACCGCCGCTCCGTGCATCCAGGCACTTGCTCAACATGTCCCGGGCGATCGTCGGCCCGTCGGCGCCCGGAGACGGCGGACGTTGCAGACGTGCCGGCGCCGCGCGAGGGGTCACGTGGCATGTACGTGGGGTCACGTGACATGGACGAGGTGGGTGATGCTCGCGGCCGCTTTGCCGGGAAGCGGCGGGTGTTGCTTGCTACCGCGGAGGGTAAGTATATAGCCGTCTCAAACATTTTCCGTGAAAACCGAGTCTGCGTGAAATTCCATTTATGGTATAAAACAGCTTGGATATTTCCCCATCTGTTAATTTTTGCCTGCCTATCTCAAATTTAGTATTATTTACATTTATCTACTCACATGTTCATGCACATAATAAATTGATAAGGCAGACACCCCGCGACGCCCTTGAAATCAACGGTGTTTTTTGTTCCGTGGAGAGCTTTTACGAGGGCAAACGACACATCGCTGCGGTCGTTAAAGATTCCAAACTTGCTTCCTTCGGAACGCTGGGCGCGTCGATCGTTTTATGCTGGCGGCCGGCTGTTCGCGAGGCGCGCGCGCCGTCCGCGATCTGCGCTGACCGAGGTCACCGCGGCCCGATCGGGAAAACCTGCTTCTCCATCAGGGGGGCTCCCTGCGCCGATTCCTGTTATCGTCGTGTGAGTCACCGGGGCAGCCTTGGCCGCCGCTCACGCCGCTCCAGTTGGAGCACGCGACGCTCTCAGGTCGCCGCAGCTGGGCCTCTGCAGGGCGGCAGTGCGCAGCACGGCACCCACGGTGGGAGATAGTGCGGCAGACGGTGTAGGCCAAGGCTTCTTCCGCGCTCTTCGCCGACCGCAGCCGCATGCCAATCCGCTATCGCCTGCGACCAGATGCGCTGTCAGCCGGCGAGCCGAGTGGGTCGCACAAGGGCCTCTGCGGTCGTGCTGGGGCGTCAGAGTGTGGATAGGGATTCTGGGCACCCGAAGGCTGGAAGCGGTGTGTCAGGGTCTCATTCGAAGAAGGAGATTGTCGACGACACCACTGCCCCCGCCGGCGAGCACACGACCATCGTCTTATTCCACGAATCGTGATCAGATCTGGCCAGCGCCTCCAGCACCCCCCCCCCCCCCCCCTCTTCCGCACTCGTCCCCTGGGGGCGGGCACAGTACATCGCGTCCGATTTCAAACAGCTCATCGACGGCCAGGCCTGCTGTCTCCGGCATCTGGCCTAATGAGGTCCTCATGTGCGCTGACCAGTCGGCGGAACGCCGCGCGTCGGCCGTTCGGAAACGGCCCCACCGACCTGGGGGCGCGGACGGTCGGGACGGCGGTGTGTGAGACGAGACGAGACCGCGCCGCCGCGCCGCCGCCGCGGGCAGCGGACTCCGGCCGGACCGTGGACGACAGGTACGCGGCCGACCTGGATTGGCCGGCTGCGTGGCCTGCACACTGCCGGCGCCGGCGTGAAAGTTCGGTACGAACGGAGCTGGCACCGCCGCAGCCGCGGTCCGCCGCCCAGCCTGGCTGGTGGGGCCTTGTGTATTGGGACTCTTGTTACGCTTGATTGGGTTTGACTTCGCTTTTGTCACGTCCCGCCTGCCTAGTCTGCCCGGTCTGCCCGGTCTGCCCGGTCTGCCCGGCCTGCCCGGCCTGCCTGACCTGCCTGACCTGCCTAATCTGCCCGGTCTGCGCGGTCTGCGCTTATCTGTCCGACAGCTGTACCAACAATGCATTTGCGAGCCGCGATGGTGGAAAGCGAGTCGTGACCTCCTTGCATCTCAGAGCATAGCAACCGCGCAAAACACTCCGGTATCCATGCAGGCCACACGACAGGGCTCCCTTCAGTCTCCGTTCAGGGTTCTTGTGCTGACAATAATCGACCTTTAATGTACCAGGAGACATCGGCTAAGCGATGTTATCATAAAAGCAAAGCAAATAAATCACTGATAAAAGCATCAACGCGTTGTGTTCTTGATAACGTCGTTTAGCTAGAATCCCCCGGTATCTTGAAGGTCTTTTATTGTTCGCATAAGAACTCCAAAATCATAACACCGAAAAACCAGTAGCTCAAGGCTTTTCTTGCTTACACCGGCCTTCCTTCCGTCAAGCTTTGGACCTCCGTCGCTGGTTGCCGGCCTCTAGTCGCGCTGTTTTGGCCACACCGCCGACCCAGCGCCGGCCGGGCGCCTTCTCTGCGCCGCGCGGCCTGCCTCCAGCGGTCGTTGGGCAGCCGGAGAGCGGGCGCGTTACCTATCGGAGCGGGCCGGCGTGACCCGGGGTCAACTGTGACGTCAGATCGTGCCTGGCAGTGGCAATTAACTCACTGCACTGCGTTGTTGGATGATTGGTGGGTATTGGAACGCGGTGCGGCCCTAGAAACGGGCACAGGTTCGTCCGGTGAGAATGGATCGCGTGCTTTGCTGAGTTATCCGCTCTGCCACAAGTACGACTGGCAATGTTGCACCAGACATGCGCCTGGCGCAAGACGCGTATCTGATCTGTAGCACTCGCCACCTCGCGTGAGGCGCTGTATCTAAGCTGTAGTACACTGCGTTGTCTCTCGTAACCGGCGATGTGGTTGTTGGCAGGGGCACCTCCTGTTTTCTACCCGCGCTTCTGCTGACGTAGTATTTTGTCCCGGACAGTGCTGGCTGGGAGGAGCTGCTCACGGTTTCCGCCGTGATCTCCCGGCCAGTGTGTGTTGACCCGGTCGGTGCCCGCTGGGAGGGGCTGCTCACGGCTTCCGCCGTGATCTCCCGGCCGGTGTGTGTTGACCCGGTCGGTGCCCGCTGGGAGGGGCTGCTCTGGCTGCCGGAGCCGTGATCGATGGCGCGATTTGGGCCGTTTAATGCCCGGTGATCAGTGATTAGATGTCGGAGGAATGCTGTTGGGACGCCGCCGACCCCAATATGCGACCCGTGCGCTGGCGAGTCGGACCGACGCAGCACGGCGGGTCGGGTCGGTGCAGCACGGCGGGTCGGGCCGGTGCAGCACGGCGGGTCGGACCGACGCAGCAC